TCTCAATCTTGCCGTATGATTGATCAGCACAAATTCATCAGAGGCTCAATCAATCTGGTCTGCCAAACTTTATCTTTCTGAGTCAACGGCTGAAACAGCCTCAGCCGTCAAACCATGCAGGGAAAACATGAGACCAGGTTGTGCGAAAAAAGGCGAAAACAACAAAGTACGTTGTAGCTACAATCAGATCTTGCCAAAGCACCCGTGTAGCAGAACGACTAGAGCAGTTGGTCGGCCTGTGCAGCAGCCCCCAAAGCAAGCCCTGCAGAAAACAAACATGGTATTAGTATGTATTAGATGGATTAGATTGGATTAGTATTACCATTAGCTTAGAGCTGTTCCGTATGGTAATGGGCGTGCCTAGAGGTCGCATGACAAGTACTGGACGCAAACGGTCCACAGAGTAGATCCACAAGCGGTGCGCCGAAGTGGCCTGTCATACATCGCAGCTATACAGAAAAAATGCATTTGTCACCCGCTAAGAACCCTTCAAAATCATACAATTAGAATCAATTAGACTAAATTAGAGGTTTTGCTTTTCCATGCTTTCATGTGCACGTTGATCATCTGATCCGGCCTCTAGCTCTTCGCAATGCACATCCAAACCATCACGTTCGGCTTGTAAGCAAGCGGCCGGTGACATGCCACCCATCCTGGTACAACATCAGAGAAGTGGCAAAGTGGAAATGGTTCAAAATTGGGTTCATGATTTCAGATCAAACCCAAAAATGTGAGAAAATCCATTTGCTTTAAGCCACCAACGCAAATGGACCTGGCAGCTTTAGTTGCCTTCTAGCCTCAAGGACTCCCAGAGTGCGAACTTTGTGTCAAAAGCCCATCTGGCACAATCTATGTTGACAAAGACCTTCGCAATTTGTCTTTGTTAAACGGACGGACGGACAGACAAAACAGACAGAGAGAGAGAGAGAGGAGAGAGAGAGAATCATGTAGAGCATTTGTAAAGTCGTATGGCATTTCATGGCACTCATTGTGCTGAACTGTGCTCAAAATGGCGGTGTGATATTCTGGTGTGACGGTTGCTTTGCTTGTTCAACGCTGGCCTGTGCCAATGCTCCAGGTTCGAGACTGGAGAGAACAGCACGCTCCTCCGCAAAGGTTTGCTGAGTCAATTGCCCGGTTGTTGGATCAGCCACGATATATGTCCAGGGAATCCTCACAAATTCTGCAGAATCTGATTCCACCTCGTCACTCTCAGCATCTTTCTTCTTGAAGATCTGGCAAAGTACCACTGCCTCCCAGCTCTGAAAGCGGCGCCCAGGTGATTGCTGCTATAAGGCTATCGACTCTGAACAAGTCTTGATACTGACCTCTGCGGAAAATACGGCCTCGACATGCGACAATCCACAAAAGGGCTGGCCAGTTTAAAAGGCGGGGCTACTCTGGGGCACCAGCATGCGTGTATCTGCATGGTATGGTGTTTTTGGCATTAAACATTGCGAAAAAAAACAAATCACCAAGGGAGCAAACATTTATGCAATGCACTGCAATGCCACCTTTCTTAATTCGTTCATTGTTTCGGTCATCTCATGACCTTCTCATCACCTTTGGCATTGCAGTCAACTCCCAGTGATTTTGAGGCACCAGCTCGTTTGCCCTTGCGTTCACGGTCCCGATCCAAAAGAACTTCCGGATCAGCCTTCCAACCCAACCTGAAAGCAAGAATGCAGCAAGATTCAGACATCAGGATACATCGAAACGCACAAGTCCATACAATTCCCAGGCACCCGATCAGGTAAGCAACTCGCTGTCTCCCCGTATCTACTCCTAGCGGTCCTAGACCTCGAGGCCCCCACAGCAATGCGATCAAGTCAAGGCTTGTGCTGCTTGATCTGCCTGCTTTGGTCGCCTTTGCTGAAAATTATCCAGAAATATTGAAAATCAATTAAGGACTACCGAGATCAGCGAAAAGTGCGTCTGATGCCGCATAGCATCCTGATCCTCAAACCCTCTTTGTGCGCAAAGATTCCTTTTGCTGCATTTTACGGAATCCCTTGTGTTGCCTTCCCACTCCCTACAAACCAGCAAATTTAATTGTTCTGATGCATACCTTCAACCCTTTCGAATCCTCTAAAACATCTTAGTGCTCTCTGTGAATCAAGGACCAGACTGAAGATGCTTCCAGCAATAGAGGTACTTCTGTCTGTGAACGTCCGTTTGGATCGGCTCTGTCCCGAAGCAATGCCTGCACCTGGCTTTGTCATTCTGCTTGCCGTCTTCATGAAGAATATCAGGGTGGAGCGTGGTAAAATCACACAGTAGGAAAGTCGTGGCCCAAACCTAATATGTCTTGTATCGAATGAACAAGATCCACAAACTTTGGCGGCAAGCCTTCTCCAGGTTTCGTATCAGAAATCAGAAATTAAAAAAATACACAACGCTTAGTCCAAGATTCATAAAGGCCAACGCACAATGCTGAGAGCGCTCAAACGCAAAGTGTGGTCAAACATGTAATGATATGTAATGTAATGCAGCGATAATTCGATACAATCTGTTACATACATTGTATATAATACGTATATATCTATATATTATATATACGTATAATTATACATACATTGGATATAATATGTACCTGTACAATCCTGTACATACGAATACATACTTATCATATCTATTCATATCTTATCAAACTTTCTAATATTTCTATTTGTTGAGGAGCTGCACTCTGCCTGGAACAAGTTGCAACTTTCCACTGCACCAGCCAACTCTAAGGCCTAAGGCTCACTGTGAGTCACTTGACACAGTGCCATGATGGTCGTGGCCGCAACATGTATGGTTCCAAAATTGGAAGGTCTAATGACGTATGCACTAAATTCTTTCTAATATATCTAATATTAAACGTTAGTAAACGATTAAACATGTGACGTTCGCAAATACTCATGTGCAAATCTTGTTCATCACCGTACCTGCCAAACCTGATGAATGTCGAGTCAAATATACTATGGCCCAATCCATTTTGGGGGCTGATAATTTAAAACGATTTCAACTCATATTATCGGCCCATGCGGCAAATACCCCATCATGTTAACATGACTATGTGCCAAAACTAACTTGGCTTCCAAACCAACGCTGAAGCACTTGATGGAGCTGAAGCTTGGAATCCAGGATCCACCACACCCGAAACTGAGGGAGCCATGGTGGGAGCCTGAGAGAGCCATGGTGTACAGCCTCTGCGCAAATTATGTGCAAAGACTGAAGAAGACCTTTACAGCATTGATGAGCATTGTTGCTTTCGCGGCCAAAGTTTGACACCTGAACCCCAAGTTTGGGCTGCGCGCTGTTTGGAATCCGCCCAAATATTTTGGCAAGTCTCCAATAATCCTTTGAACTTTGGATGCGTTTTATTATTTGATTTAAGAAAACGGCTTTGAGACTGCGAAGAGGCTCTTGGTCTGGTCTCTTGGACGTCTCGAAGCGAACCTCTGCAAACAAAAGCCATAAAGGTTCATTGAAGAGGCCATAAGAACACTTTTTTGATTTCACCATGTGAAAGTGATTGGGGTCGCAACCTCTTCGGGCTGTGGATCTTCGGGACACAACCTGTGCAAAACAAATGTGATCGGAAATTCTCAGGTGTTCAGGAGTAGCTGAAATACCGAAGCACCAGATCGAAACATCACCAAGTAGATGCACCCCCCGAGTGGCAAGCACAACGTATAGAGCGTTCAGCTTGGAAATTGCTGAGACTGCGGCAAGTCCATATTCGCTGGCCTGATGCTGCCCAGCTCAGTGACTTGAATGGATCGAAATAGTGGATTTGCCAAAGCATGGCGAGCCGGACCTCACCAAGATGCTTCTGGTGGTGCCATTCTCCTCGATCAGTTCCACCTCATCAAAATGTCTGCAGCTCTCAGAGCTGGCGGGATCTCAAAGTCACTGTATCTACACCAGAAGAGTGACAGATCAGTTGGAGAAATTGGTATGGTGCAATAGTTCGGTTCGACGTTTTGTCCGCTGTATTTGGGTTTGATTACATCATATTACATCCTTCTTTAGAGGCTCTGAGTTCTCGTGAATTCAGTCACAAACTGTGTATCTCGAGGTGGCTGAATCAAAGGCGCGGATGATGCCTGAACAAATGGCTAACCCAGCCAGCAATGCAAAAATGACGCTTGCTGAATCTGCAGTCCAGAGTCCAGATCAGTCCAGATTCATCCGCTGCCTATGCGAGCATTCAAGTCTTGCCGTTGCAGCCCTGCCAAACATTCTGCTAATTTGTTCGAAGCATCAGAAGACATTAAACAAACAAGTTCATGATGGTCTCGTTCACGGTGAATTCGATAGATTTCAGTTTGTGCATGTTTGTCCGTCATCTAGAATGTGCCAATACGGTACAAGTGCCTGTAAGTTCTACCATACCCCCAGTTGGATACTGGGGATGCGTGGGAGCATTTGCGGCTCCGTTCGCTGCAGATTTTTTTGGCTGCTCCTTCGGCTTCTCCTGTCAGGGAAACCCACCAATACTTTGAAGCCCTCCAACCATGCTTGCTAAGAAGACAAAACTGGAACAGCATAGTGGGTGGTTGGGACAATAATTCTATGAAAGTCCTGACAAGTAAACAAAAAGGGTTCTCAACATGTACATCCTTCAAAGAAGCTTATCACGGTGTGGATTGCGCGCAACATCACAAATTCTTCAAGCATCTTGAAATGTTCTGAATGTTCTGGTCCGTTTGCCGAACCTGATCCATAGATGTTCGCCAAGGAGCTGGGCCTGGCATGTCAGAGTCACGCAAAGAATCAGCGTGTGAAAACAAGACTTGCATAGACTTCCAGTATTCTCAGTATTGTCTATAGCAGGATGCAAATGGGTACAAGATGGTACAAGTGTATAGAGGTAACAGATTCGATGACCAGTCCATGGCAGTCAATCAAGATAGTCTTCTCGGATCGTTTGAATCTTAGATATTCTTTAGATATTCTTCAGATATTCTTTGATATTATTCTTTAGATATTCTTTAGATATTCTGATGAGAGGTAGTCTGCCGCTCGGACCTTCTCCAAGCTTGTCATAGCCGCTGTAATTTTGCTCTGCAGAGTTGCTAGCCTGCCTCCCACCTTAGAAGAAAGTCTTATGGATCCCATGGGTTGGTTCGAACGGGTTTTAACAGAACTCCAAACACATCCAAGAGATTCTTGGATCATCTCGGCACGGGCAAAAACCATCTGGTTGCGAGCCAGGAACCGGTTTTCCACTTGAAGGCTACTCTGCCATTGACTCTCCCTGAACAAGGCAGTGACCATATGTGGCCATGATATGCTTCAATGGCATGGAGGATGACTTTAACCCCAACATTTCCATTGTGCCTCCAGGAACCAAGTCAGGTATGCCTCAGATGCAAATGTTAATCCTTTTCAGCTTGCCCCGTCCCTCTTGTGATGTTTAGCAACCTAAATCGACTCTATAGACGTCAGCAATCATAAACATGCAAGGTAGTAGTGCCCTGAAACTACGGATGCTCGGCGGGACATGGCAATGACAAGGTCATTAAGTAAACCAACTGAGGAGTCAACTCTCGTCGGTTCCCACCGGGTCTCTCATCTCTGAACACTATAGCACATTCTGGCAAACACAATTTAAAAGTTGAAAAAAATTGAACTATGATGATCGTAACATGTTTAAATAATTAAATAATTTCAAACAATATCAGATCGCCTTGCAACAGTCTCATATACACTTGGGTGGTACGAAGTTGGTCTTGTCTGTGTGGACACATACTTCTTGAGTCATGCTTTCTGAATGACTTGAACAAAGACACACAGTAGCAAGACCTGCTTGCATGGTTCTTGAATGTTTTTTGGCTGCAGAAAGGCGAACGAATCATGAGTCAAAATCTACACAACAAAATGATAAGCAGAAACAAATTATACTTCTGAAGATATGCAGTATAAGTATGCAAATGCTATGTATCGCTCTGTATCCTGTCAGCCGCTGCATTGTCAATGCTCTGCCCACATATACAAATAAAATCACATGAGTTTGAATATGTTTGAATGTGTTCCCGTTTGTGAAATTAGCAAGACATGGTCAAAATAACGTCTCCATATTTTGATCAACGGAAATTTTGTTGGCAAACTTCCGAGTGACGGACGATGGTCATGGTCAGCATTCACGTCATCATGGCAACCATATCATCATGTCAACCCCACCATCAAGTTTTTGGGAAATAAAAAAGTCTGGAAACGTGTAATTTCACGGGTGAAAATTCAAGGGCGCGAAACCCCGTGTTTTTACACGATTTACACGGCTCCTGGAGTCGCGAAAGGTAGTCTCTGTTTCCGCGGTTGCGGGCCTCGATCGGGGAAAATTCTCGACAAAATGCGCACGAGACTGTAACGAAAGCTCGGTTTGCGCTTCAAAATTTTAAAAACTAAGGTGCGCGGATCCTTTTGGAAGATGAGGCCGGAAAAATGCACGAGTCGAGACTGTAGCGAAAGCTCGATGTGCACTTTCAAAATTTTACCAATGCTGAGGCGGTCGGGTGGTGGGGGCACTTTTGGATACTTTTGGAAGATGAGGTCGGCAAAATGCGCACGAGACTGCAGCGAGAGCTCGGTTTTAGAAAATAACGCGCAAAAACGGAGCCTTACCTCGGAGCGGCCCCGGATGTTGCTAGACGCATGGTACGAGTAACAGCCGCGCGAAAGGTAGCTTCTCAGCACAGGGCCACTCTTGCACTATGCGGGAATGCAGCTGGAAGTTGCAACCTACTGTGCTGGCTGCACAATTAGCATTGGGTAGCAGAAGCTTATAGCTGGGAGGCAGCCCAGAGCAGAAGCCGGACAGAGAAGAAGTAGCACAGATATAAGAGTTCATTGATTCATTGATCCACTGATTCATTGACTCACTAACCCACCTACTCACCGACTCATTGATTCACTGGGTTCTTAAATTGCTGGCTCATTGATTCGCTAGTTTTTCATTGATTCATTGATTCACTGACTCATTGATTTACCAGTAGTACCCACACGAGGCGGGACGGAAGTTGCCTTAGGGGTATGCTGTATAACCTTTCTCATCTATAGAACTTGCGTGCGCCGTGCGCCAGCCAGGCCCGTGCGTGCGTGCTTTGTGGGAACCTGTTGCCCTGTTGTGGTCCAAGAACATGACCTGCGCAGGGCCCCGGCGCAACGCAACTCCAAGCGAACACTTTCTTCACACTTCACACTGCGCTCTTCACACCCCGCACTCCACACTTCACACTTGCACTTCATCTCAACTCATCTCACCTGAGCTCTTCTCATCTCATTTCATGTCTTCTCATATGTCAGCTAAATTCTTCTTAACTATTTTCCTTTCATCTGAGCACAGCTCAACCTTTCACATCTCACCGAAGCTAGTCTAAACTCATCTCGGCTCTTCTGCACGTCAGAAAGCTTGAGAAACGGATGCATTTACACAGAAGAGTCTTTACAAAATACTTTGTACTACAAAGCTTGCACACAGCACTTCCAGTACTACTTTGTACTACAAAGCTTGCACAGAGTACACCCCAGTAGTACGACTGACTTTCTAGTCTATGTTGTATACCCAGGTTAGGTGAAGCTCGTGGTATATTGTACAGCTAGACCATAGTATATTTACAGTATCGAGGTGATTAACGCAAAAACGCTCATGCATTGCACCAAATCTCAACTACAAGTCTTTCGTCAACAAAACCTATTGTAAACACACACCGTCCAGGGTCAACAGCTGCGTCCTTTTTCATCACTGCAGCATGTCTAGGTTTTGGCAGCTCTTTCGACCCGCACTGGCACGAAAGGCTGGACAGCTTGATCCGCAAACACTTGTTGGCAGTCTGGTTGCCGGTCATGGCACTTCACGAAGCAAATCAGGCAAGGCAAGAAGTTCTCACTATCCGCAATGGCATTGCGGACCCAAGCTGCATCTGCTTGTGACAAAGGACATTCTGCACCTGCTCGATAAGCACTCGACAACATCGCCGCAGCGTGCACACCGTCATCAGTCAGTGCAATGTGCAATGCAGCGATTTTCTGCCAAAGTATCGGCCCGTTCCGAGCAAACAGTTGACAAGGCATCGAAACAAAGAGCGCAGAGTCCATATTTAAAGTAACCCAAACCAATGTCCTGTGGTCCTCGGGTGTGATACTTTGTCTGCACGCGAAGCACCGTCAATTTTGCAACACATCGTATACACGCAATGCGATCTTCAAACTGTGCTTGAAAGTTGCCATTTCTTCAAAACCAATGTCAATCATCAAGTTTTGCGACTCCAAATTTCCTTCCTTTCTCCTTTGCGTTTCAGCAAGATTCTCAGGTTAGCGCTCTGCAGCACATGAGCATTCGTAGCCGTCGAAGCAGCGCTCACGTTGCTGCTGAGCTCATGAAGATCCGGCAATTCGAAGCCGATTGCAAACGTCAAGAACTCGCAAGGTCTGATCACCATGGTGTTTGCCCTCGTGGACCGCACTGTCGCACGAGGATGAGAGCAAAATGGTTTTGCAACGGCAGCAATTACCTAGAGTAGGTTGCCGAAGTGTCTGTAAGTTTCCTTTCGTGAAGCACAGTTAGTATGGACATGGCATTGAATAGTAATGCGAAATGACACTGGAACTACAAGACAAGCTGGAGCGATAAGCCACGAGAAGCAAATGTCCATGAATTTCGTTCCCAACAGTTGAATGCAAACATCACAGCAGTGCATGCGGCTTCTCGTCCAACACCGGTTCTTAGACCACATGCAAACCCTACATATGTCACCACAGACCTGCAGCCGCTGCGGCACTGATCAGCTCAAAGCACTATGGTCCGCACTGACACACTAAAAGCTTGAAGTCCAGAGCGATATCACTATGGTTTCTGCATCACTGGTCTGCACTGGAACATGCTGTTCGAAAGACGGTCAATGCTCTGCGTGCTGTGCCAACAAGTTCAACCACGCAGCTTCCGCTTCTTTGCCTTCTTTTGAGAACACGACACAGCCTTTAAATGAACTGCGCGTGGCATCGCCACTGCTTCCCGGACACTTTGCCGCGGCACAATCTAGCATTCGTGTCTTGGATGTCCATCTAATCTCGTGAAACTGTGCTGCGAACCAGATTTTCCAATTCCTTCACCACCTCCAGCCTCAAGAAGCCGACGGTCACTTCTGATAACCGATGCTGCATGGTCGCCGGCAAGCCACGAAGTTCAGTAATCAAGCTGCCCAACGAAGAATAATTTAGTAGAGATAACTTCGTGTGAAGAAGATTCTTCGAATGGCGCAGTGCGTGCAAGAGTGCCTTCAAATGATCCACCTTCAAGGGATCCATCGGAAGGCAGGTTCGCCATAGGTGTCGCGGACCGCACTGTCGTGCAACACAGCATGGACGATGATGTATTGTCCAGCACAAATTGACAAAATTTGCGTCATTGCATGAACCTTCTTTGCACGTTGTTTGTCTGGACTTACAAAACATGAAACAGTAGTATCAGCAAAACCCACGAACTGCAACTTTATCATTGGCAGCTACCACTTCAAACAGCTGCAAGCACTTCATACCAGTGACATGGCACCGACTCGGGGATTCAATATCATACATAAACCCATCGTTCAAGTCTACAGGACACACCGCTTTACATAACAGGAAAGCCTTTGCACCTAACAACCAATACACTCATCCTGTTCTGATTTGAGCTCCCAAATCTCTTCACAAAGTCTGAAACCATGTTTCTTCTGGACTCATATGTGCATGTGTTGTGCACATAGCACTGCTGGCAACAAGTCCTTGGTTTCTGTGCTTGACATCACACACAATCTGGTTCATGTTTGCATCAAATACCCTTGAACCTACGAGTCCTTACTTCAGAAGCCTTAGGGTTATACTATAATCACCTATAGAACTTGCATGCGCCGTGCGCCAGCCAACGCCAAGCGAACCTTTTCTTCAGACTTCACACTGCACTCTTCACACCCGCCCTTCACACTTCGGACTTCACACTCCACACTTCATCTCATCTCAAACCATGAGAGCTCTTCTCACTTCATCTCACATCTTCTCAGCTCTTCTCATCTAATCCCATCTCTTCTGACATGTCATCTAAGTAAGTTCTTCTCAACACATGTCATCTAAGTATGTTTCTCAACTGTTTTCATCTCATCCGAGCACTGATCAACCTTTCTCATCTCCTCAAGCGTTCTTCTCAACTCATCTCAGCTGTTCTGCACGCCAGAAAGTTCTTACTGTCAGAGAGAAGTCTTTTGCACAAAACCGCCCTTGGAGGTGTTGCTTGCCACGTAGAAGAAATGCCTTTTGAACTCCCTGCCAAGCTCGTTTCTGAGGATAAGCCCTACATGGATCCGCAAAATGGGCTCAGCTATGAAAAGTAGACCAATCGAGTATCCACAATGAAGGACCACCACCAGCTCCAATAGCATCAGCATAGCGCCATGCTGGAAAAGAAGCATCGCCAGCCAAATGTCCACCACCATTCCAGCCAAGCCAATGGCTTGCAACCCTGCCGCCATCAGAACGAAGCTTCTGTGATTGCGAAGCGCAATCACCTAAGTAACCCAATCGGAGCGCCTTTGGCACACAAAGATGGCAAGCATGCGCTAAGGTGGCGGCGCGGATGCACTTGCAGGATTGGAGAAATGATCGTGTTCTTAGAGATTACTGGGATTACCAGGATTACCGGCCGTGAGGTTCATAGATGTGCATAGGACAAAAATAAATCCCGGAACCTTCGAGGGTTCTTTCAGCTTGGAGGTTCACATGTATCATGTGGAATCGTTTCAAGGGACATGTTCTTCTCAATGGTTGAAGCAAAACCCCTGGAATCAGAAAGCCAACACGATGTATGAGTTTGTGTTTCAAGTGTGAGTTTGGACTCAACCTGCCGGTTTTAGCTACTGCGTTTTCCAGTCAACATGCTCTTTCAGAAAATGCACTGCTACACAGGCATGCCATGTTTCTGCATTTGCCAGAATACTACGCCGAGGACATTGTTCACCCATTTGCAGTAGTGGTCATAGCGCCTGATGGCAGGATTGGGCTGAGCTCTTGTTTAAATGCCTTGAACGAATCCACTTCAAAGAAATAAACTAAAACCACCCTGCACAAAAGGTGTTCCTTGATGGCTGGAGAAGCCGACCAAAGACTGAGAAGCCTTGGTGGAACCGTCCTATTCTGGCTAAAATATTGCAACGTTGACCACATATATTCAAACGTTTCAAAGCTTAAAATTCTCAGGGCGCCGTCTGTAAACGTGTTTGAACCGTTGAATGGTGGAACGTGTTTGGACCGACCCTGCCTGATGGGTCGGGGATATTGTAACCCTTCTTCAAGATCACCGTTCTCACCCGGAACGGTCAGGATTTGGCCTGGGCCTGAAAAGGTCGTCCAGATCATCAAGCTCAGGGTGACCATGTAGAGCGGCACCATGCACAGGGCTCCAACGATAGTGGTTGTTCACAGAAGTGAAGGAAGCGCCGGCTTGAAGTCTATCCCGAAGAACGTGTATTCTTCGGAGGCAGCCTTTTGATGCTCTTCAGAGGTGTCGGTGCCGGAGTCTGAACCACGGTCCTTCTCGTCATTCTGCAAATTGGACGCTTTGGAAGTCAGCAGCAGCGTCGGATTGCTGGACATGTTGCGTACAGTAAAAAGATGTAAAAAGGATAAATCACTGGCAGTGATCACCGGTCAACAAACTGTTGAGTATCAAAGCAGTGGCGGATCCACGGCGCAACGTGAACTCTGAGACGTCTGAGAGGCATGATGCATGTGCCGTGCGTGTTCTGTCCAAAGGAGATCTCGGTTTGCAAAGCCAAAAGCCAGCCGTCAGTGCGCCTCCAGACCAACGCCGGCTGGGGATCCACCCAGAGCAAAAACATGGATGCACAAAGAGGCACTACTCGGCATAGACCATTAGACCATTGTAGAACTCCCAACAATTTTTGAACTAACATAGGAGACTCTGGGATAAGACACAAAAGAGAAACAGCTATATAAACTTAAACACCTCAGACAGAGAATAGGGCAATAGGGGCATCAGTTTTTGTGGTGAGAATTCCAATGGCTACGGGTCAATGTTCTGTCTCACATTTGTATGCTCAGAACATGATGGTCTCAAACAAGCAATCCTTTGACATAAGTGGTGGATCTTTGCTCAGTTGACTGGTCAAAATTGTCGAAGCACTGGGATTTCAAAAAAACAAAGGGGTACGACAAGGGTGTTCCTCGAAAAAGAAGTAATAGCAGATTTAATAGCAAACTCGCAGAAACTAAGGATCTTGACAAAGTCTATTCATGCAGCGAATGTATTTGATACACAAACTGCTCTTGGATGACGTTTGGATTCCAAACCTTTGCCATAAAAGGTCACTGGCAGGGCAACCGATCCGTTCTGCAAATTTGTCTCTGTGTGATTCTGTGTGTATGTGTTCAGATGAGCAAACTCACAAATCAGCTACAGTAGCTACAGTGACAGTGTAGGTATGCAATGAATCCTGGAAAGATGGAAACACCAAACACAAAAACCTCACATTTTGCAACACCTCGAAAGTGGTCACATTTTGCAACTCTTCAAGTTGGGAGTATCAGGTATGGTTAAGTCATGCCCATATCTTCAAGCTAAATGCAGCCAAAAACAAAAAAAAGTCAAGCCTCCAGTGCCTTGCACATTACCTTGAGCAGTGAAGAGATCCAAGGCCCATCCTCTGTCTCCTGTCAAATCTGTAAAGGCCAAAGGCCAAAGGTCAAAGGCCAGAGAGAGAGAGAGACATGAGATCATCCCTCCCCACTGGGATCCTTTCGAAAAAATCGGAAATCAGTCTCTGTTGGGTCTGTTTGGTGGCTATGATCTATGGATCTATGATAGCTATGGATCTATGGATCTATGGATCTATCCAATCTGCACAACCGCCCGCCAGTGCCGACTGCCAAGGAGCTGAAAGCTGCAAAACGTCGGTCATCCGCTCAGGACAGCCGCCAGGGAGCCTCAGGTCATGGAGTGGCAACTTGCTGCGACGCTTGCAGGGAAAGCTGCTGCATGGGAAAGGTTGAAACGGATTCTGTGAATGTTGGATCACCTTTAACCGGAAAGTTGAAGGATTGGATCACCCAGAGTTTTTTTGTTGGCAAAAACTGAAGTCGTAGGAAACCTTATTGTCGGTCTTCAATGGGTCAAAAAACTCAGATGTGTCCGTTTCATATCTGTGGCAGCTGTGTATCGAAAGATCTAGAAAATCACCCGAGATCTATGCAGTGGTCACTGCCCCACGTGCCAGGGGTACATCATGAGTTGAGGCTTGCCAGGGAGTGAACTTGAAAGCCCGTGACCCAACATTTTCACTGTTCAGGCAGATTTGGGAAGCGAACCGTGCGGGTGTGGAAAAGCTGAGCATGGCTGACCTCTGCCTGCACAGCTACGATCTCTCTCTGCCTAGCAAGTGCCATTGGAAAAGGCGGTGAGATTCATTTACACACACACAGTAGATGTAGCATGTATAGATTGATATTTGATAGTATATGTGAGATATGTATAATATAATATATATATATATATTGAATTATATTGATATATGATATGTGATACATGATATATGACGGTGTATACCTTGGCATCTATCTCTATATAACTAATCCTTACATCTCATGGCAAAGCACTCATCAATTGGAGCCGAAGGTGGCGCCATGTGGTGCCTCAGCCTTCAAGCGCTGTTCCTTTTGAGTACTCGGTTCCCTTCAAAAATCCTGCTGCCAATAGCAGAAATAAAAGGCCGCCTTGAGAGCTCAACAAAGCCAGCAGTTCTGATCGGCAAGCCTGGCAGCAGCTGTCAATTCCGCAGGTCGTGTTCAAGCTAATCTAGTCACACAGTATCTGTTCACATTCATATCTGTTCAGCGTGTCTTCAAGTCAATGTCGATGAAAACCTACTCGCCTCCAAGGACTCTGCTTTGTGTGCTGAACGAGAATGGTCAAACCAGGCCTGAAAGAAATTTGATCATGAATTATGTTACAATGTTACAACATGTCTCTATAGGACTTGTCCTAAGACTTGTAAGTGAAACAGGCAAGCCAATGTAACGATGCGCAATATTCGTCAGTGGATACTCTGGTTTTTCTCCTTGAGACTGTCGATACCTGGTCAAGCTTCTTAAAAAGCCTGACCCGAATCAAAAGGCAATTGGTTGATGCTGCTGCTGTTGCTGTGCTTGTATGGCCATAAGATCATATAAGATCATGATCAATAGATCCGATTTCATCTACCAATTGCCTGGTCTGAAGGCTTGCCGGATCAAAACCAAAACGAGAAATTACATAAATTTCTATCTTGTCCAAAAGAAACAAGCTCAAATCCCGATATCCTGCAATATCCATTGCTCGTAAGGCTCGTCACGCTAGCTCTTCAGCTCTTGGACTACATTGCCTACAGAATCAACACAATTAGCGACGATTAGAGCAGCCTTTAAAAAGTGGCTGAGCGCATCTGAGCGCTTTAAATGGTCGAGGCCGAGCTGCATCACTTTTGCAGCAGCCCTCGAGGCAAATCCCAATCTTACTTTCCAAAAGAGTTCGAAGCAAAAGCACAAAAAACATTTCACACATATATAAACCGTATCCAATGAGCACATGTTTTTCTTGGCCAATTTGTGATTTCTGGACAGTGGCTTTCTGTACTCAAGCTGCAGCTGGCTTAGGAAACGTTAAGCACATGCCACCCGAAAAAAACATCGCAATGGACAAGGGTGATACTGGGAGGCACAGGCTTGGACAAAGATGCAGCCGCATTCAACGTCCATCCGGTTCAATGTGTCACTTGGCGCTGCAAGCTTTGCGCTGGTGCCGGGGCTCGCCGTGCTCCAAGTCTTCGAAGGGTTTGGTCATACTCCTGGTGCAAGGAAGTGCCCTGCATATCCTGCATAGCATCCTGCGCGTCTTCATCATCCATGACGTGAAACTCGCAAAGGTCATCCGCTCTGTTCGCATGGGACCTGTCTTGATCATGGGGCTTAGCTGCCCGCACTTGCATTGAGATATCTGGCAAAAAGTCGTTCCCACACTGCCTGCCACTGCTCGGAGAGCGTGATCTTGCTCCATCGCTGAGTGATGAATAGTCCGAGTGGGAATGTTTTCCGCCCTCATCATGCCCAGCCTCATCATGCGAAGCAGATGAGGACCGGCTGCTGCCGGAGTAGACCGAATAAGCTTCATAGTCATCCTCATCTGGTGCATGGCTTCCAGGACGGCCGGATGAGCTCTGTGCACTCTGTGTTGGCCCATTTTTGTTAGCCACAGGAGCAGAGCTACTTGAACTGGGATCTGCTTTGGGCGGGGGCAAACTGCCTTGGGATTGCACGCCACTGACCGTCTTTTCTTGTCCATCTGACGGTAGCAGCCCGCTGGCTGAAGCTGGCAATGGCGGGCTGGGCACCCCTGCACTCGGCCTGATGGTGAGTTCACTTGGTGCTGGATGGAGCCGCCGGGCAAGAGCTGATGCGTATTGTTGACTTAATGGAGGAGCCATGCTGTGTTGACCTGGCAATGCATAGACTCCACCCTTTGATGGCAGTACTGGCAAAGAGGGCGGCTCATCGCGGTCAGGTTGGATCTGGGTCTTGTCGGTTTTCTGGACCGAGTAGAAGCTTGCCCGAGGTTCTCTGCGCATCTGAGGTTTTGCAACTGGATGTGTTGCGGCTTGTTTGACTGGGGCCTTGGCTCCGTCTGTCGTGGGTGTGTCTTTCAGAAGCAGCGTTCCTTTTGCGTCAGCTTGTAGATGTTTGTCAGTCCCTGCCACTGCACTACCCTGATTGTTTTGTGACTGATGCGAACTTGCACCAGGAGCACCAACTCCACCCTGGGAGATCAGAACTTTTTGAGCAGTGCTTGAGCTGCCTGCTGCGGATGGCTGTCTTCCACCAACAGGAGTTGGGTCTTGTTGGGTGTTGCTGCTTGGTGTAGGGCGTGGGCTCTGTGTCTGAGGCTCTCTCTCACGGTTGGTCGGTGCGACCGGGCCCTTCACATGAGAGTCTTGGCCGGGTGGCCGTATTTGCTCCACGGGTCTGGCTCCGGGCCGTGGGGAGGCGCCGGGCTGACGCGGTGAAGCGGATGAAGCAGCCCGCGTGGACTGTGTGGACGTGGACTGCGCGGTTTTGTCATCCTTTGGAGCTGTGGCGGCCTGGCTGGCGGTCTGGCTGGCGGCCTGGCTAGCAGCCTGGCTGGCTTGGCTGGCTTGGCGCGGACTTGCAAATGGCTTTGGAGATGGCTCCTCCCGTTTCTGCACGTCTCCTGGCTTTGCTGGCTTTGGTTGTGTCGCAGCACCTGGTTTGGACGCACCACCTGGTTTGGACACCAGCTGTCCATTCTTGTTGCTTAGCTCTCTTGGTGCCTGTGGCAAGTTCCTTTTGCTTTCACCAGTTTTCGCACCGATGGGTGTTTCTTCTATTTCTTTGACCCGCTTCCCTTGTTTGCTTGGATCTGGAGATCGAGACTTTGGTTGTTCACCTTGTTGGGGTTCTTTCCTGGTGCAAGGTGATGGGGACCTTGTTGGCACGTTTGACGAAAATGGGGATGCCTGTTCAAAGCAATGGATGCGCTTGAAGTGCATGATGGGGAAGGCAACTTTCCCAACGTCTTCTTGCACACCTTTGCTCGAATGCTTCATCTGGGACAAGGGAGTTGACCTGCGCGACAAAAAGGGATCAGATGGGATCAGCATGTCTGCGCGGCATCAGATTTATTCCATCAAAGGTTTACCACATGGAGCGGTCTTGCTCAGTCATAGCATTTAGTCTTCTGGAACTCAAACATACCACCCCAAAATCAAGTAAAACGAACCCACGCACACAACATGCAGGACCGCTCGCTTCTCGACTATAGAATTCTGCTGGAAGTAACGTATTCTTTCGGAGCTTGATACTCCACCACGTATCCCGTAAAGCATGTGTTTTCACCCTGAACCAGTGGGTCTTGAAGCCCCTACAAGTATGGCCCTATGGCTTGATGGAACTGAATTACAATAAATGCACATATACAAATAAATGAATAGAATTAGTAAATTAATAAAGAACCAGTATATATTATATTATATATTACATTATATATATTATATATATACATTATATATATATATAATTATATATAATTATATATAATTATATATATATATATGTATATCACCATACCAACCGCGACAATCAGAATCATCAGAAAGGACTGCAAGAAACTCACAACACAACACATCACCAAAAACTCCGAAATACTGTACCCTCCCCATCTTTCTGGTCCTGCCTTGACCTCACACCCTTGTCAGGTCCTCTTCCGCGTACCGAAGCAGAACTTGCCACACTCGAAAGAGACTCCGGAGCTGCACTGGAAGGAGCTTTGGTCGAAAGCGATTGAATGGAGTCTTGCACCTTTCCCGAAGGTCCCAGCTCACAAGACTCCGCAAAAATGGCAGCCTTTGGTGCCGTTGCTGGCGCATCATCCAACTGAATTGCTGATTTCACAGGAGCGTCAAGCTTGATAGTTTTTGCTGCAAACGCAGTCTTCCAGCGCTTGCGAACTTTGCGCGATGCAGCAAAAATAAGAACCGCTGCCCCGGTACATTTTAGAGCGACAGGGAGCCATGGTCGATCTTTTTTGCAATCTTTGCGAATGTCTTGGGCTTGGGTTTGAACAGGGCCCGCTATGTCGACACAGGCGCTGATTCTTTTGCTGTGACTCCTTCTCATTCTGTGAAGTGCAATCCCTGCAGAGAAAGATGCAACACCGGCCAGCACCCCAGGATGTTGAGCTTTAACTCCACATCCCTTCATCAGGGAAAGTGCCGACGCTGTGATAGAAGTTCCAGGCATCTTAGTGAAGTGCGAAAGGTCAACATAGTCCCAATTTCCCCAAGCCAGTTTCGCATCGTTGAAGCCCAAATCATTGGACGCCATGACTGCACCCTCCCCCATTGGTCAAATGAAATAGATGAATTTGTCGATTAAGTGCAACACCGGAATGCTGCATATTGCTGCACTGCCGACTGTATACTGCCTACTTGCTGATCTATGCACGCACCTGGCTTGCAGCAAATTTGGTTGATTGTTTTCGTGAAATGAATGAGCACGGAGTTCTGATGGCAAAGCATGGCTTGGGCCAAACACCAGGTTCACAAAATGTCAGAAGCACGGTGTCACGGCGTTAAATACACAAGTGGCCAGCCACGTGTCTGCAATCCTTTCTTCCATCAACATGAGATTCAGGCAGGCCCCACGCCCCAAGCATCCTTAGCCAAGCACGTTCCAAGATGTTCCGAGAGTTCCGAGCAGTACTCTTTGTTTCGCACGATTTCTCAAAACTTGAAACTCTGTGAGCCACTGCAAACATGGGCTGATCCTCATGAAATTCAGCTGGCGTTGCTGCTGGACGTGAGTGTTGGGTGCATAGTCTACAAGCATGTCTGAGCGCTGTTCTCGCGTTGGCGCAGTGGGCATGACCTTTGGGCATTTGGGCATTTGTGTACTGTTCAGCTTGACTCACACAGATACTTGAGATGATATCAAGCTCGATGATTGAACGCACTCTTCGATGAAGCACTTCCAAGTTGCTGAGGCTGCTTGCTGAGGAGAGGACAAACAACACATGAGGCAATGAAGAAGACAGGTCTCTGACCATGTATTCCAACATCTGCGCCGACCTCGCATACAGTATATATAGTCTCAATCTTGCCGTATGAAAGATCAGCACAAATTCATCAAAGGCTCAATCGATCTGGTCTGCCAAACTTTAGCTTTCTGAGTAAAAGGCTGAAACAGCCTCAGCCGAGACCAGTTTGTGCGAAAACAGCCGAACAAAGTATGACCAGTAGATACCAGTAGTACCTACCAATTGTAGTTGCGATCAGATCTTGCCAGAGGACCCGTGTAGCAGAACGACCAGAGCATGTGAAAACAGGACTTTCAGTATTGTCTACGATGCAATTGGATACAATTGTAGAGGCAACAGATTCGATGACCAGTCCATGGCAGTCAATCAAGATAGTCTTCTCGGATCGTTTGAATCTTTAGATATTCTTTAGATATTCTTCAGATATTCTTTAGATATTCTTTAGATATTCTGATCAGAGGTAGTCTGCCGCTCGGACCTTCTCCAAGCTTGTCATAGCCGCTGTAGTTTTGCTCTGCAGAGTTGCTAGCCTGCCTCCCACCTTAGAAGAAAGTCTTATGGATCTTATGGGTTGGTTCGAACGGGTTTTAACAGAACTCCAAACACATCCAAGAGATTCTTGGATCATCTCGGCACGGGCAAAAACCATCTGGTTGCGAGCCAGGAACCGGTTTTCCACTTGAAGGCTACTCTGCCATTGACTCTCCCTGAACAAGGCAGTGACCATATGTGGCCATGATATGCTTCAATGGCATGGAGGATGACTTTAACCCCAACATTTCCATTGTGCCTCCAGGAACCAAGTCAGGTATGCCTCAGATGCAAATGTTAATCCTTTTCAGCTTGCCCCGTCCCTCTTGTGATGTTTAGCAACCTAAATCGACTCTATAGACGTCAGCAATCATAAACATGCAAGGTAGTAGTGCCCTGAAACTACGGATGCTCGGCGGGACATGGCAATGACAAGGTCATTAAGTAAACCAACTGAGGAGTCAACTCTCGTCGGTTCCCACCGGGTCTCTCATCTCTGAACACTATAGCACATTCTGGCAAACACAATTTAAAAGTTGAAAAAAAATGAACTATGATGATCGTAACATGTTTAAATAATTTCAAACAATATCAGATCGCCTTGCAACAGTCTCGTATACACTTGGGTGGTACGAAGTTGGTCTTGTCTGTGTGGACACATACTTCTTGAGTCATGCTTTCTGAATGACTTGAACAAAGACACACAGTAGCAAGATGTGCGTGCATGGCTCATGAGTGGTTCTTTGGCTGCGGAAAGGTGAACGGTGAACGATTCGTGAGTCAAGATCTGACAAAGTGATTCTCAGAAGCAAACCCGTGCGAAAGAATGACCGATTGAACACATACGTATATCCTGTTAGAATGATGAGCAAATTTAAAGGATGTATGACATTGTATGATAGGAAAAGCAGAAACAAATTGTACTTCTGAAGATGCATTGCAGTATGTAAGAATTTCTTGTCATGTAATCACTCTCTATCCTGTCAGCCGTGGCATTGTCAATGATCTGCCCACACAAACGAATAAGATCAAATAAGCCTGAATGTGTTCCATTTGTGAAACTAGCAAGTCATGGTCAAAGTCTGTCTCCATCTTATGATATTACATCTTAGGTATTTCGCGAAAATGTTGTGGCATGTGGTGACCCAAACTGCTCAGTGGACTGGGGTTTGAACCGCAAGGTATCAACTTATTTGCCGTTTGATATTGCAACTTGGGTTGGAATCTGGAGTCAGTGCATGTCACAATGTCAGTTCATGTCAATACGTGCACTGCCTATTCAAGAGTAGGAATGATTTGGAAACAAACATCTGATCAGAAAGGACAGAAAGGACGTTATCAAAATAAATAACTAGGATCCGCTTTATACATATCTGTATATTATAATATATATATATATATTATACATGTGTAGAATATGCAGCATATTGATAATCATAATATAAGCATCAAGGCAGCTTTCAATCAAGAGTCACTGCAATACTCCCACAAACAGGCCCAAGTTGAAATTCCCTAGTCTGCAAAGCGAGTCTACGACAATCTGGAGTGCTGATGTGAACAGCGTGAGTGCGCGCTGAGGTCTTTGTTTTGACCCCGCTGGCTGCTTGCAGCAACTCAGGTGTCGAGACCCAAAGCAACTGCAGCAGGAGAATTGCCCTTTTAGGCAGCTGGGAAAAATGAAAATTTGTTGTTGACTGTTGACTGTTGTTGATGAAAACCAGCTTCACTTCAGTCTGGAGTTGGCTCATGCCAAGTTCTCCTCCCGGTTCCTCTTATCAGAATCAAATCTTGGACCAAATTTGACAGCATTTCATTTTGTGTTGAACTGATTATCTGTGTCACAGAGCTTTTCCATTCAACTGTTCACTGAGAAGATGCGGCAACAACGCATGAAAATCCTGCAGTTACGCACGAGCCACCCTCCCCCCCCTAACTCCAATCAGCTTTGCCCGTCGCAGGCATTGCTTTGAGTTCTTCCTGCCATTGGTTCAGGCCCAGGAAAAGAGGACTTGTTGACCTTGTTGCGTGCAAAATCGTGCAAAAGAAATCACAGCAATATTGCTCCGAAGACGGCGTGGACATGCGTGGACAATTCATGGCTGCCGGTCCTCCTTAAGCTTGAGCTGGCCTTGGAGACACCATTTCAATCCGATTCTAGATAGGACATCATGTGACATCAACGTTCAGATCAATTCACCATGTCGACATCTACAAAATCCGGAATGGTGCGAGGAAAAACTCGCAAACGAGCAGGTTGACTGAGCGCTGGTCGAGGTGTGTAGCTACCTAGCTCCAAATGCAAACACATGATGGACATACATGGGAATACGGCAATCTCCTGATTCACGCCGATGCATTTGTTTGCACAAATTGGCCAGCTGTGATTATTCAGCAAACAGAGGGAACTCAGAGGCTGGCGTGTTGCGATTTCTTGTTGCCCTTCGTCACTGCTCACATGGTCTCGAACCTCACACCGTGTGCTCACGACTGCTCCGGGCCCTGTAGGAAGAGTGTGCTAGAAATATCAGTCAACCGCCATGCATATAGCACAACAAAGGCTTTTGTTGGGTCTGCAGATTAAGGCTCTGAAACACATTGCCTGTGACAAGACAAAATTGCAATGCATCCCAGTGCCACGCAGGAAAATATTGGCGCTGGCGGTGTCCCAGGTGAAACCTGTCCCGGCCAATCAATGTCGGATGGTCGAAAGATCCATAGCAAGCTCCTTCTGCTTCGGCACAAGCAGCCTCAGTGTAAATGGCATTGTTGCTCAAGAGCAACGGAACTGAACAGAAGTTAAGAGAACTTAACAGAACTATGTATTCATAATTAATCATATATATATACTGTATATATATATATATGAGCAATCTCAAAAACCCTAGGTTCACGGAAAGGACATCCACAAATTTGGGAAGGTCCCATCGCTTACCGCACGTTTGTACAATAATGATATAGGTAAACTTGGGGGTATCGCTTGCAGGAAACTGCTACATTTATATATATATATATATAATTCACAGAAATCAACGTCCAATTTGGGTATCGCTAATGTGGATATTAGAGAAATACAATGACATAACCTTGAAAAGGGGTATCGCTAATTTGGTACAATTTGGTAAGGTCCCATCGCTTACCGTGTGTTTTTAACAATTTCCATCAATTTCCATAAACCAATGTCCGTCCAATACATATTTAGTATTGCCGGGGTTTTTGCGGTGGCTCATATCATTATATCCGCCGACCCCGCTTGCAGCAGGGGGAGCGCGTCAGAGGAGGAATTACCAGCAGCAAGGGCCAAGAAGTCATTACAAGCAGCAAGGGCAAGAAGCAAGAAAACAAAAAAGAAGAAACAAGAAGCAAGAAGCAATTACAGGCAACAAGCGGCAAGAAGCAAGAAACAAGAAGCCAGGAAGCAACAAGCGGCTGGAAGACAGGTCAGAGAGCTAGTTTTCTTGTCGATTCAGAAAGCAACGTTAGGCAGGCGGCGGCGCCGTTTGTGATGAGGCTTTTGGCGGCAGGAAGACAGCTCAGACAGCTAGTTTTCTTGTCGGTTCAGAAAGCAACGTTAGGAACTGGGGGCCGTGGCCCGCAGGCCCGGTCCGTCCTTCAGGGCCCTGCTGTTTTGCTGTGGCGAAGGCGCCGTTTGTGAGCCTTGACGGCTGGAAGTGAGCTAGTTTTCTTGTAGGTTCAGAAGGCAACGTTAGGCACTGGGAGCCGTTGCCCGGAGGCTCGGTCCGTCCTTCAGGGCCCTGCTGTTTTGCTGTGGCGAAGGCGCCGTTTGTGAGCCTTGACGGCTGGAAGAGAGCTAGTTTTCTTGTAGGTTCTAGGTTCAGAAGGCAACGTTAGGCACTCGGAGCCGTTGCCCGGAGGCTCGGTCCGTCCTTCAGGGCCCTGCTGTTTTGCTGTGGCGAAGGCGCCGTTTGTGAGCCTTGACGGCTGGAAGAGAGCTAGTTTTCTTGTAGGTTCAGAAAGCAACGTTAGGCACTGGGAGCCGTTGCCCGGAGGCTCGGTCCGTCCTTCAGGGCCCTGCTGTTTTGCTGTGGCGAAGGCGCCGTTTGTGAGCCTTGACGGCTGGAAGAGAGCTAGTTTTCTTGTAGGTTCAGAAAGCAACGTTAGGCACTGGGAGCCGTTGCCCGGAGGCTCGGTCCGTCCTTCAGGGCCCTGCTGTTTTGCTGTGGCGAAGGCGCCGTTTGTGAGCCTTGACGGCTGGAAGAGAGCTAGTTTTCTTGTAGGTTCAGAAAGGCAACGTTAGGCACTGGGAGCCGTTGCCCGGAGGCTTGGTCCGTGCTTCAGGGCCCTGCTGTTTTGCTGTGGCGAGGCGCCGTTTGTGAGCCTTGACGGCTGGAAGAGAGCTAGTTTTCTTGTAGGTTCAGAAAGCAACGTTAGGCACCGTTGCCCGGAGGCTCGGTCCGTCCTTCAGGGCCCTGCTGTTTTGCTGTGGCGAAGGCGCCGTTTGTGAGCCTTGACGGCTGGAAGAGAGCTAGTTTTCTTGTAGGTTCAGAAGCAACGTTAGGCACTGGGAGCCGTTGCCTGGAGGCTTGGTCCGTCCTTCAGGGCCCTGCTGTTTTGCTGTGGCGAAGGCGCCGTTTGTGAGCCTTGACGGCTGGAAGAGAGCTAGTTTTCTTGTAGGTTCAGAAAGGCAAGGCACTGTTAGGCAGGGCCCTGCTGTTTTGCTGTGGCGAGGCCGTTTGTGAGCCGGCGGAGAGCTAGTTTTCTTGTAGGTTCCGTTAGGCCTTCCGTTGCCCGGAGGCTCGGTCCGTCCTTCAGGGCTGCTGTTTTGCTGTGGCGAAGGCGCCGTTTGTGAGCCTTGACGGCTGGAAGAGAGCTAGTTTTCTTGTAGGTTCAGAAAGCAACGTTAGGCACTGGGAGCCGTTGCCCGGAGGCTTGGTCCGTCCTTCAGGGCCCTGCTGTTTTGCTGTGGCGAAGGCGCCGTTTGTGAGCCTTGACGGCTGGAAGAGAGCTAGTTTTCTGGTAGGTTCAGAAGAGCAACGTTAGGCACTAGGAGCCGTTGCCCGGAGGCTCGGTCCGTCCTTCAGGGCCCTGCTGTTTTGCTGTGGCGAAGGCGCCGTTTGTGAGCCTTGACGGCTGGAAGAGAGCTAGTTTTCTTGTAGGTTCAGAAGGCAACGTTAGGCACTGGGAGCCGTTGCCCGGAGGCTCGGTCCGTCCTTCAGGGCCCTGCTGTTTTGCTGTGGCGAGGGCGCCGTTTGTGAGCCTTGACGGCTGGAAGAGAGCTAGTTTTCTTGTAGGTTCAGAAAGCAACGTTAGGCACTGGGAGCCGTTGCCCGGAGGCTCGGTCCGTCCTTCAGGGCCCTGCTGTTTTGCTGTGGCGAAGGCGCCGTTTGTGAGCCTTGACGGCTGGAAGAGAGCTAGTTTTCTTGTAGGTTCTAGGTTCAAAGGCAACGTTAGGCACTGGGAGCCGTTGCCCGGAGGCTCGGTCCGTCCTTCAGGGCCCTGCTGTTTTGCTGTGGCGAAGGCGCCGTTTGTGAGCCTTGACGGCTGGAGGAGAGCTAGTTTTCTTGTAGGTTCAGAAAGCAACGTTAGGCACTGGGAGCCGTTGCCCGGAGGCTCGGTCCGTCCTTCAGGGCCCTGCTGTTTTGCTGTGGCGAAGGCGCCGTTTGTGAGCCTTGACGGCTGGAAGAGAGCTAGTTTTCTTGTAGGTTCAGAAAGCAACGTTAGGCACTGGGAGCCGTTGCCCGGAGGCTTGGTCCGTCCTTCAGGGCCCTGCTGTTTTGCTGTGGCGAAGGCGCCGTTTGTGAGCCTTGACGGCTGGAAGAGAGCTAGTTTTCTTGTAGGTTCTAGGTTCAGAAGGCAACGTTAGGCACTGGGAGCCGTTGCCCGGAGGCTCGGTCCGTCCTTCAGGGCCCTGCTGTTTTGCTGTGGCGAGGGCGCCGTTTGTGAGCCTTGACAGCTCGAAGAAAGCTAGTTTTCTTGCAGGTTCAGAAAGCAACGTTAGGCAGTGGGAGCCGTTGCCCGGAGGCTCGGTCCGTCCTTCAGGGCCCTGCTGTTTCGCTGTGGCGAGGGCGTCGTTTGTGAGCCTTGACGGCTGGAAGAGAGCTACAGCTATAGTTTTCTTGTAGGTTCAGAAAGCAACGTTAGGCACTGGGGGCCGTTGCCCGGAGGCTCGGTCCGTCCTTCAGGGCCCTGCTGTTTTGCTGTGGCGAGGGCGCCGTTTGTGAGCGTTGACAGCTGGAAGAGAACTAGTTTTCTTGCAGGTTAGGCAGTGGGAGCCGTTGCCCGGAGGGTTCCATCAACTATGCACGTGCCAGTGGTTGGTGGGACACTGCTTTCCGTTGGGAGTGCGATGAGTTACTTGAATTCGGCCGGAAGCTTTTGTTGAACGCACCACCGCGCTGCATGTCGGACACATGTGCGTATGCGTGCGACCTGCAAGCAAGCCATTTGCAACGCGAAATTCGTGGCCGCAACCATCACCTCGGCGGTGATCGATTTGTCCTGTTGCCACTTTGCTTTGCACAGATTTGGCGCAGTGTGGGCAGATGTATGTGTACAGTGTGGCGTAACCGTGTCAGGCCCGACAGCAAGCTGCTGGTTCGATGAGTGGGCAGTGTCCGTTTTGGGAGCTTCTGCTCGCGTGGAAGTTTGTCTTGCTGTGTGTATTTCCTGAATTTCCTTGCGAACGTCCTCTAGGATTGCTGCGTGACGGTGGCGTCTTTCGCGTTGGCGCAAGCGGGCCAGGTAGACTTTGGGATTTGAAACAAGCCAAGCAATCATTGCTTTCTCTCCAGCCCCCCGCTCACCGCCCCAGGCAACAATTCCTGGGGTCGGCGGCAGGGGGCGTAGCCCCTTAATATTCGATATTATTCGATAAATTTGGATGATACTGCATGTTCGGTTCAAGAGATGTAGAGTCACTGTATCTTCATAACCTCCTTTCAAGCTGGGTCAACAGTTTCGAACTGGACATCACTGCTGTGGCACCTATCAAAATGTTGGGGTGGCACACTGAGATGCATTGAGGAGCAGATCGATCAGCTTTTCCGCTTCTTGCATATCAATGGTGTCCACCTGCTCGTGTGACACACCACCTGCAATATCCCACCTGAGATGTGGCATGAAAGTCCCAAATGAACAACCAGAACACGTCATGAAAACATCCACAGTACCCACACGGGAGAAAAACACCTAGACAAAAAAAAAAACTTGACTCCATATCCAGGGATCAGCTTCTCCAGAATCTGCCACTGGACAACACCCAGTTCCTTTGCATTTGCATAGGAGACATTGCCTTCCTTGGAAACAAACGTCAAATGAATTCTACTTCTGATCAGATGCGGTCGCCACTCTGGTGGGAAACACTGGGAAACAACGCAACAACATGCAAGCTATCGCATAGCAAGTCACTCCTCCATAGCAAACCATCGCATAACGGCTCCGGAATTTGGACGGAAACACATTTTCGAGTCGGTTCTCGATCTTTTTCATGACCTCAGTCAGGTCAATTCATCCAAATTCCCGATATCGGGTCAGCTACGTAGCAGCTACGGCAAACATGGCTCTCAAAACGGCAATATCTCAAAGTATTCAAAGATATTCTTTGTATTGTGATATATTGTGGTTTTGTTTCTGATTCCTCGCCGAGTAACTTGAAACTTTGCATCTCCTGTTTTGTCCCTCATTTCCACAAAGTTCTCCAAAGCCATGTCACAAATTGCATCCGCACTAGGCTTTCGCGCAGCCTCAACAGCTGCAAAGCATTTGGCAAAGTTATCTCCTGTGCACTTCTCCAGGTTTGCTTGCCCCTCATCACAGCAGAACTCATCAACGAGCCGACTGAGCCACAGTGTGTCCTCAAAACCGCAGTTGCATCCCTGGCCGAAGAATGGCACCATGGCATGACAAGAGTCGCCAATCAAAAGCACCTTGCCCTTTACTGCCCATTTTGATGTGCGGACAGTTCCAAGAAGCCCAGTTGGATTCTGCACTATCTGATTCACCAAGCTGTCCAGTCCACCAACCAAAGGAATGGCCTCACTGTAGTGCTTCTGGCAAAAATCAGAGCACTTCGCACGACCCTCTGGTGTGTCAGAGAAGGATGCAAAGGATTCTTCGCCCTCGTTGTCCATGTAGAATGTGCCTGTGAAAGAGCCATCGCGATTCGCCAGGGCCATCAGCATGTGGTCACCTCGAGGCCAAATGTGTAGTCCAAATCTACCATCACAAGGCTCACCGCCATCTTCACCTTTGGCACCAAAGCCTTCAGGATTTTCAGGTTTTGGAAACAAGACCTCCTTGTAGCCGCGCGTTAGAAGGTCTTCCGAAAACTCTGTGAGTCCACTCCGTCCGAGAGCGTATCTGGCCCGGGAACCTGCACCATCACATGCGATGACTGGACATGCTGCGTTGACTCTCAAATCACCGTTCTTTGTCCGGAAGTGAAGCTCAGCACCCACATCCCGATGATCCTTGAAGTCGGAACTTTCCACCAGTGCATGATCAAAGTGAAGCTCTGCCCCAGCATCTGCTGCAGCGTTCAAGAGAAATTTGTTTAATTCAATTCTGGATACTGAGTAATTGTGCTCAGTATTGTCTTTGCCATATCTTTGAAACAATACCTTGCCGTCAGGCATGTGGATAATCCGCCCCATGACTTTAGTAGTGAGATTCTGCACGATGTCATCATAGAGGCTCCCACCAAGCGCTTTGATGGCTCTCAAGCCCCGACTTGTGACACTCAAATTGATTGATCTTCCAGTACTTGGGATGGATCGGATATCCTGGTACCTCTCGTACAGGTGCACTTTGAAACCTTTCTTCAGCAGAACCACTGCACACAGTGATCCAACAAGACCCGCTCCCAGAATGATGATGTGGCCCTTGTCGCCAACAGTAACCTCCTCACAGGGAAATCGTTAGAAACCATGCCGTTTTTGTTTGCCACGAAAACAGGATATCTAATCTATATTGTATATTATATCTTTACAAAATAAATAAATAAAAACGGGTACTGTAACACGTTGTATTACTTGATATAATATGACACAATATCATTGTATATGTAAATATAATATAGCGAACAAACATAATCAAATGGTTAATCACAAAAAACATACACAATAACAATGATGGTACTAATAATGACCATATATTTAAAAAAAAAAAACATCGTAAAATAGTACAGTAATCATCAATAATAATAATAATAAATTTAATGATAATCATCATCAAGAATACTGATAATACTGATAATACTGATAATACTGATAATACTGATAATACTGATAATACTGATAATACTGATAATACTGATAACAATATTAGAACACTATTTTATCACATAAAAAAATATGCTATACATAAATAAACATAATACATACTGATATTGATGTCATTTGCCATGACAGGTGGGCCATTTGGAGGACTTTGGACGTAGCTCCTTGGAATAAAAGAAATGGATCGGCCGATAGACCCGCTCGGTCGCGGCAGCTCTCTCAGCTGGCGTATTTGCCAAGTCTTCCGGCATGGCTCAAAAAAAAAAGCGTCGTTCTCCAATAGTTCTACTTTTCATCCCAAAATGTATGACATAAATTGACATAATTCATAATCATAGTGTGTGGATGTGTGTGGATTTTTTTGTGATCCTGTCAGGTTGTCAAGCTGGTATTTTGGCAACACTTTCTTGAAAGATCTTGAATGTTACTTTTCCGCGGAATTTCTGCATTGAGATACATCAGATATACTTTGAAGATCACCAAAGGCACATAGCATAGCTCGAATTTCAAGGTATACATGCACCTGCTACAACTTTGCAATATCGGCACATCTGTGCACATCTGTGGACATGACCTCTTCAGGCGTCAAGGACAAAGGCGATCCACACCAATCGCACTGGGCCTCGATTGTCTCCTCATTTGGGCAACAGCGCATCAACATTGCATCGAGAGCTGCGAATGCCACGGGACTGGTCCTTGTCGCGAAGGATCTTCAGAACCTTTGCGGGTATCAAGTGGCACAGAAGGGTAGAAGACATCGAAGGCACAGAAGGCTGAATCTTTCGTTTAGTCTCTGCCTGGACCAATCATGCTAGAGCAATACCATCCAGCCCTTCCTGCCTCTGTCTTCCCCAGCATCATGACAGCAGTTGCCAACCTCGCAGGTCCAAGCACGTCCAAACAGCTGTTGCCATCCCGGATTGCTGGATCTTTTTCGCTGAGACATGACCGGGGGGACCCTATCCAACAGATGGACTTCCATGAACTTGTAGTTCTCTTGTATGTTCAGTTTTGCATGGTACAAGTATGGCCCTTTCCCTTTGGTTTGGCTAGTTGAAGATGCAGCGATGAGAATAAACTATATAGAACTATTAATATATGTGGTGAGAAGTGGCGTTGCTTTCCTGAAACTCTCCCAACTTTGTTTACATGTTGTACCAAAAACAGGTATCTTATGGTATCTTCGAATCTTCGAGGGTCCTTCGATTGAAAAGGAAGAAGACATAAGAAGACAACAAAAGACCAAAGAAAAGAACAGGCAAAGCCCCACATGCTTATGGAGCACTAGAAAGCATGTCCATGCACGTCCTAGTAATTGGCAAAACGGGATAAGGGATAATTATGGAAGATTTTTGTGCCTCTGCTCACCATTACACAATCTTTCTGGGAATACCTGGGACCTGTCTGCAATGCATGTTTTTCAATGCTTTTCATATGTATTTCATATTATGTGTTCCTATGTTTATTATCTAATCATCTAATCATCATTTGTCATCATTTGTCATCATTTGTCACGGCTTTCTCGATCCGTTTCTCCATGTCCGATGAGGATGTTCAACATGCCGGCCTGGACTTGGAACACTTGCAGCGGAAGGTTGGCTTCTGCTCAGCTTGGTATTCACCGCGGAGCTCCCGCATCATGTGCTTGCAAATGTCCTGAACACTGAAAGCGTCTGGATGTTGTGTTGCATTGTGTTGTATTTTGATGTATTTTGCAACATCTCAACGACTTTTCTTGGCAAGCATCTTACTAAATAAACAAGCATGCAATATAAAGCATACAGTAGCAGTGTAGACAGTATAGGTATGTATAGGTTATAGAATATTATAGATGAGTATACAGCATACTGTACCACAGGAAATCAACCTGAGCTACAACAAGGTGTCTTCCTCGAGGCTGTCCAACTTAGGCTGTCACGTGGGGCCGGGAAGAGCCGCTGGACTCCATACGATCGAAGGTGTTGATGTTGGTCTGACAGGATGAGTGAATTGAAAACTGCGACTGGCCCAGTAACGAAGACCAAACCTGCTCACCGGGGACAAAAAACTGCGGAAGAGTGCCTCCACAACCGACACCTCTGCTTCGTCCCAGCCTACATCACTGGCTTTTGGCTGAAAATTCACGTAAACTCTCACATGGAAGGGAGTTTGCTGGATACCTTCTGGTGAAAGCCACAAAATGCCTCAGGTTCCAAGGTCAGGACCGGGCAGGAGCGTGACAAGCCACCCTTCCGCTTGCTTAATGCAGCCTGCCTGCAAGAAGTCTTCGAAAACAACATGGCTCAACACACGGAACAGCAATCACGAAATTAATGCTCCAAGTCTCCAAGCTTTGAGACTGCGCAGCATGGCAGAAAATAAACGAGCACCCCAAATCTTGGACAATCTTGGACGACTGCTGCACATTTATTGCATTACCACTTTTGAAAAGCTCTCGAAACATCAGAACTGCAGATCAAGCCGATCAAAGACTCTCTTGAAGGACACTGGGACCAAGTACTTGCAAAACCGCATGGTGGATTTGGATAAATTTAACTTATTTAGTCTAGTACGCTTTTTGGAAACTTTGCCAATCCCTGCCTCGGAATCCCATTCCACACTCAGGCCCATAGAGGCTGGTGTTTGCTCACTCATACCTAGGTATTGAACCACATCCTCAGCAATTTCGCCACATTTCAAACCAATGGTTCCAGTGTAGGGCCGCTTCCAGTAGGGGTGAGTCCTGGTCAATCGCAGCGTTGAGGCACTACCAACACCCACAAGCTCTGGCACAGAAGGTGCATCTGCCGCAGGGTTCCCCACCATGCCCCGAACCGTCAAAGCGGAAGAAGCTTCGGTAATGATTGAGCCAATGGGACCATCCCCCTGTATCCTCAACTGCAGACTCTCTCCTTCATCTCGGCCATTGGCCAAAAGAATTGTCGCCAGCAAAGCCCGACCCAGTGCAATTCCTGCCATGGGTGAGCACTTATGCATTCCAATGACCTTTCGGACGAGTTCAGTAGCACAGACTGCACGCACGACGACATTGCCGCCCATATACCTCACCAGTTGGTCTGCTGAGTCTGAGTCGACATGCACGTCTGAAGTGGTCTCGGAGATCTCATTGTTCACAACAAACATCTGCACCTGGCTTCCTCTGCCATTCAGGCCCTTGGACTGCTTGGATGTGCGCGCCGTACGCGCTTGAGACCTACAGAAGCCAGCGCCGAGAACTGCGGCTCCCATCAGCGGAACGCCAACAGAAGGCCCGCCATCAGCGCCAAGAGCAGGCCTCGGCAGCCTGTGTCGACCACTTCCTTTGGCTCCGGGTGCCACCGTTGCTTGAAACAAGGGTTGCCTATGGAAGGTGAGCGCCATGGCTCTACAAGCTACCTTTTTTTGGTTCTGGAGTAAAAAACTGCCAGTAGTTTATATCAGTGCTATCCAGTACTTGACCACTGCTGCTGCTGCTGCTTGACTGAACGCGGCAACACTGTCCAACACTCCCGTCAGCTGATATCAAAGCACGAAATTCCAAGTGCACATTTTGCACACGGACGAAGGTCAGCTAGCCGAGTTAGCTAGTGGGTTCAGGTGAGATTCCACAGCAAGAAATCGGAGGCGCTTCACTAATGTAGGCAGCCTTTAGCTCAGTTGCAAGGATCACCATGGCCATGGCTCACAAATCCAACGATCTGAATGGAAAACCAACAGGAGAGGCATCAAATTGAGCATCCGACCATTGTTGGCAACCCTTCTTCGAGATTTTGAACTGACCTTGGGACGGCTAGGGGTTTCCCCCCTCTGCAACAATCTATAGGGGGCGCGCAAGCCCTTCGGCATTTTCCTAAACATGAACGAACTGCCTGCAACATGATTGTGCAGTCTTGCATCTTTGATCTGATTCCTTGGTGCCACACAATACCCATGACCTTCCGGCCTTGTTTTCGCCACCGTTTCTTTCCCCGACATAGCATGGTAGACTGTACCTTCGAAGTGACATCAAAAACCAGCCAAAACAATTCTGCACATCCACTTGAGTTCGTTCCTCTCACCTTCTGTCCTTTCCATTCAACGTACACAGTAGGTTCTTTTGGCCAGCTTCCGCAACCGTTGAGAACCAAAGCACACAGCTCAGCTTGAAGCATGAAGCCTCTAAGGGTACCCTGCACGCCTCTTGCTCTGCCAAGCTCAAGGACCTCAGCAATTCCATGTGCCACAGGCGATCCTACAGGATCCTACAGGATCCTACAGGTACCAGTTGAGAACATGTTCGCACAATGTGAATTGAACCGCAACCTGCCCCGTGGACTCTGTGGACCAGACAGGTCTGGAGCATCTATTTGCGGCACCGCCAGTGGCTCCAGCAGGAAAGATTGGTTTTCCTGTGCCTTCGCAGCCAACAGTTTTTCCATGTTTTTCCCTAATGGATGGCTTGTACGTCATTAGCTGGTTGGACTTTTTCCAAAGAAAGAAGAGTTGGCTGCAAGATCAACAAGTGACTTCGATTTGAGATTCAGATGATCTCGCGCTTTTTAGACTCTGCCGCAAAGGCAAAGGTCTCTGGCAAGCGTCGCTTCCGGCCCGTCTGCTCTGGCGACGTGAACGCCTTGGTTCTCGGCATCAAGTCATGTTGCATTTGAAAATTGTATAAAGATGTGTGAATTTGATTGAACTATATTAAAATATATTAAATATATTAAAATAAACTAAAATAAATTAAAATATATTAAAATATATTAAAATATATTAAAGTATATTAAAGTATATTAAAATATATTAAAATATATTAAAATACATTAAAATATATTATATAAGATTCAGATATATATATATATCCTGGACCTATGACCTTGAATGACCTTGATAGGTCTTCAGGACCCACCTTGGTTGAGATCAGTACTTCTGAAGGCAATCTGGTAGAGCTTGATGGTCTACAGGGCAAGGGCAAAGCTGTTGGTCGAGGCCTGGGCCAACGAGTGGAGAGCTGTGATTACTGAAGCAGTGGTCCATGCAGTGAACACAACACCTGATGTATGCTACGTTGAGGCAGCAGCAAAGGTTGACCGGCTTCACCAGCGACTTTGGAGAGAATGGCCAGGACGACCTCTTGTGCGGTCAAAGATAAGCGCCACAAGACACACAAGAAAGAATGGTTCAGCGCTCGTGCGCAAATTTTCATGGATCAAATCGCCCTGAATTCAATTGAATTCATCCCAGAGGACTCGAACATTGGAAACTGCATTGTTTCAGTCAAAAAGCCGGCGCTTGAAAGGCCAAAGTATGCCAGTCTCTTTTTGATGGGTTGTTTAACTTCAGTCGATTCACGCAGAATCCTTAGAAGCTACAGATCGCAGCGCCTTTGCAGTCAGAACTGCGTCCACTAAGGCTGAATGAGTTGAACTCCTCCAAACCTTCAGTAAGACACAGAGACGGAAAGGATGAGAAAGGGTAGCCACGGTAGCCACGAGTGGGAAAATTGAAACATTCATTAGACTACTGCTGTGTTCTACGAGCCTCAATAATCAAATCTGGGCTACTGAAAATTCTGAGGTTTGAGCGCTTCCTGGGCTGCCTTCGGGAATATCCAGCAGGTAACCTGGAAAGAACAAGTTCTCTCTAAATATTCTAAATTGCTATGATATTATGATACCACGTTACAGTATAGTGTCTCGTAGTATATCTCCGTCAGACTGTAGATCCATGAAGCATGCCAGTCCATCCAAGACCATCACTTCAACGTGACAGTCGCTGTAAAATCTGTGCAACCTAGTTGCAAGCCGTGGTCAAATCTCGCGGGCTCAAAGGCCTACAGGAAGCACATGTCCAAATCTGTGCTGAATTCCGTGGAAATGCCTGTGACATCCTGTCACTACAAAGGCACATAAAGGCACTAAAAAGGCTGCTGAGCTTGGCATCGGCCCTTGAAACTTGACACCGTTAACATGTCATCTCACCTGAAGGCTCCAAAAGCGGCTGCACTGCCTAAGACATCAACACTTCCTGCACTTGACACATCTTGATAATTACTTTCATCATCTTGCATATCTTTCATCAATGACTTAACGAACACTTTGAACATCGCCGGAGAGCTGAGTTGACTGCAAAAGCATCGCTGCCCCAGCCTTTCAGCAGCAAAGCTGACCGCCGTGAGTAGCACGTGTTGAATCATTTTGACAGGTTGTCCCATGAGCAAACAGTACGGACAGATATGGACAGTACGGCCAGTGCCTGATTCCTTCAGCTTCCAGTCCGCAGCGCTTCAGATCTTGCAAGAGCATCCTGGAGTTGCATGGTTCAGCATTGCGAGCGTTGTGCACGCATGGTGCGCACAGTGACGGGAGCATCATTGTCATACGCTATCCGTTACACATCGAAACAGGATTTAGACCGATGTGCTCAGATTTGATGGAATCTCTGTGTGTGTGTGTGCGCGTAGCTTTTAAAGCCTTGTTTACTTGTTTCGGCTGCCATAGCTTGTTGGGATGCTGCAGTTATTTCCTGCATTTGGCCATTTTAGGCTTGGCAATTTTAGCCACTCAAAGAGGTTGCCAGTGGCCATCCCATAGCTGCATAGCTTGGTTGAGAAATTTGTGAAACGAAAATTGATCAAAGGGGTGACACCGAGGCAAAACATAGAAATTGGATGAAATATATAATATGATGAAAATGGGAACGACTTTGTACAAGACATCAGGAGGCATCTGCTGTGCCGCCTAAGGCATTTTGTCACCTCACCAGGAGCATCCAGGAGCTTGCAAAGGCCCAAGGATCCCAAGGTCTATGGAGCCGTTTGTGGCCTGTCGTCCTCACACGGAGACAGGTGGATCTGAGGTCCAAGTTTTGATGTCACCTGTACTTTGGACTTTGATTCGTTCATTGGTTTAGAGATACAGTACCAGTACTGCGCACGAGCGTTGGAACATGTTGGAACCATATCCGAAGATTTCGTTTCAGTGCGTGTGTCATCTCTTTGCTTTTGTCATCCTGCATCATCACTGGCAGGGCATTGGTTCGATGCGACTTTGCCAACCTGGGTTTCAGCTGCTTCAACAAATCCTTCAAGGACAAGAATGACAACATTACAACGTGGCAAGAGTCTCTTCAGTTGAAAGCTGGTTGCTTTGGCCAAGAGACGACTGGACTTCTGCCTTTTGTCTGGCAAGCTCCACAGACCTACATTGGAAGCATCTGAGTTTGTACTGAGAAATGTGAGAAATGCCTCTTAGGATCTCTTAGGTTTTGTCGTTGGAGAGAGAACACGAGAGCACAAACGGAACAAATCAGCGCACCTGGGACGGGGCCTTGAGGGGACCATTGGCGTGTCCGGTCTTGAGGCGGTGATCTGCAAAGCTCGCAGCAGGGCCACTGCAGGGCTACTACTATAAGGCCCTTTCCCCACACGTAAATCCTCTCGTCTCTAAGCCTTGGAACCTTGGGACAACTTCGGTTCATTCGCACTCTGTCTCTAAAGACTGTCCATATCCCTTGCCTGGCCTGGGCCAAAGAAGGTGGCCCTGGAGTGAGCGAAGTAATGTGGCCTTCGCACGTTAAAGAAACTGAAGTGGTTGGAATATGTTGGACTCAAAAGCCCTTCATCGAAGTCTTCAGCCTTCCCAATCACTCCACCACTTTTGCATAATCTCTTGCTTTTCCTTGGTAAAACATGGTAAAAAGTGGTAAAACATGGTCCAACTGCAAAATGCACCAATTGATGCAGCTGCAGTCGAAATCTGTCTGCATCGCACTGCATCCTAGTTGCATTTTGGAAGTTTGCCTCTGAGATGCCTTTGATCGTACGACTTGCACCAACTTTGTGGAGAGCTTCAAACCTGCGGCCATCAGTGAAAGGCACCAGCTGCTAGCGAAAGACCTACAAGATGAAAAAAGGCCAAGAAACCCAGATTTGGGCACGATCCATCAAAGTTGGTGCATGGTTACTATTTCGAGACAAGTATCAAAAAAATATATAAATTAAATGCATCAAAAAAAACGGCAAACATCAAAAAAAATATCCAGGTGCCACTATGTGAGACCTCATGCGTTTCGTGCTGCAAACCTAGATCAAAAAAATATACGTATCAAAAAAATATATCATAATATATCATAATATATCATAGTAGCAGTAATAGTAGTAGTAGTAGTAGAAGAAGTAGTAGTCGTCGTCGTCGTCGTAGTAGTAGTAGTACTAGTAGTAGTACTAGTAGTAGTACTAGTAGTAGTACTAGTAGTAGTAGTAGTAGTATTAGTAGTAGTAGTAGTAGCAGCAGCAGCAGCAGTAGCAGCAGTAGCAGTAGCAGCAGCAGCAGCAGTAGTAGTGCATACAAGCAAGGGACCACGGGACCAAGGGGACCCACAGGACCAAAGGACCAAGGAACCAGCACCAGGGGACCAAGGGATCAGGGGTCTAGGGGACCAGAGCACGGACCACGGGACCACTGGACCACGGGACCAGGAATACAGGCCAAGGTACCAAGGGAACCAGAGCAAGGACCGCGGGACCAAAAAAACAAGTGACCAGGGGAGCAGGGGACAAGGGGACAGGCCAAGGTACCAAGGGACCAGGGGACCAGGTTTTTTTTTGATCCCTTAAATCTTCCTTCCTTCCTTCCTTCCTTCCTTCCCTCCCTTCTTGCTTACTTTCCTTCCCTCCTTTCCTCCTTTCCTCCTTCCCTCCTTCCCTCCGGTCTTGCTTCCTTCCTTTCGTCCTTCCCTCCTTTCCTCCTTTCCTCCTTCCCTCCTTCCTTCCTTCCCTCTTTTCCTCCTCCCCTCCTTCCCTCCTTTCTTCCTTCCTTCCTTTCGTCCTTCCCTCCTTTCCTCCTTCCCTCCTTTCCTCCTTTCTTCCTTCCTTCCTTTCGTCCTTCCCTCCATTCCTCCTTCCCTCCTTCCTTCCTTCCCTCCTTCCTTCCTTTCCTCCTGTATGGTCAATATATATTTTTGATGCATTTATATCTTTTGTTTGATGATGTTTGATGCATTTATATTTGTTGATGCATTTATATTTTTTTTGCTGCTTCTCCCTGCTATTTCCATACATACATGAGGCATCATGAGGCCAAGAAAACAGGAAGGAGAACATGTATGAACATTCCTTAGAAAGCTGCCAGTATTGCCATGGCATGAAGTGTAGCGGCGCCATGAGAAGAAGCTACAAGCGCTGAAGTCGACACACCCCAAACGGAATGGAGGACAGCAGTGACACAGCAGCCTCAAAACTAGGACCAACCAAGGGATTTTCAGGATGGCGGTCTCTGCAGCATCTTCACTGCACCTGCTTCTGGCTTCTGCCATGGCATCTGCGACTTCGGCAGTGCTTTTAATTTCCTCCTTGCGGGACATGCGCGGCATGCAGCTGTGGTTCGGAGTCTGCAGCTTGACATCAAGGCGCCTGCATTCTGTCGATCGTCATGAAAGCGTCCATTTGGACTTCTTGAGCAAACAGTGCAGTATTTCGCACCTCCCTTGGAAAGCAAGAAAGCGAAAGCAAGCTTTGACTTTGCCACATCTGAACACTGTGCAAATATATGTGTGTATGTCTAAAATATAGATCAATATAGTATTATACAATATTATACATGGCCGATGCAATATACAGTGCATTGTTCATACGGTTGCTGGTCTGCGATGATCATTGTACTGATTATATACAATGTGAGAAAGGAATCGTCAATCAGTGTCCATTACGATATTGGCGTTCATAGATTGACACACTTTCGTGTTTGAGAAAGAGATTCTCGATTCAGAACTTTTTCAGTGAGATGTTCTGTGCCCTGGGCACTATGGGCACTTTGTGTTCCCAAATAGATGTGAATCAATGTAAATCAATGTAAGTAAGTACACAAATGTATATAAATAGATGTGAAATGATGTAAATAGGTGCAGGAATCTGCGTGTGTCCGTCCTGCATGGATTCCCATGTTGGATTATTTGATGCAAGCATTGACGACAACTGGTAGCCAATTCTTGAGACAAGGAACTCTGCCGTGCAGTGGAAGGACTGTCGGACCTTCGATGAAGGCGCGGTGAAGGTATTTCCAAATCGCCAAATTTGGGCATGATACCAGAATTAAATCTGCAAGAATTGTGTACTTGATGTGTACTTGTAAAGGCAATTGCTTGACAAGATCTAATTCTGCTCTTCTGGTGATATGAGTACTTCGGATGACTCGACATTATTTCAGAGATGTTCAGATTACTTCAGTACATTTCAGTACAATTTCCGCCTTTTTGACATTCGGTTTACGACCGGCATCGACTCAGCTCAGCTTGGCACCGTGTCTTCAGCCACGTCCATCATCATGTTTCGCCTCTGATCAAAGTCCTACGCCGGTTGAGTCTTGGTGACAGCCTCTGCAGCTTCAGGCTGATGCTCAGTATTGCTCATTGCTGCTCAACTACAGCCGAGTCATGGAGAAAGTTCTGACCGCAGGAGTTTGGTTTTGAGTGATACAGGGACCCGACAAAGTCATGCCTAAGTCACTCCTTTCGCTTTCCCCGCTTGTGAACGCAACATTAAGAAGTCATGCCTAAGTCATACCTTTTGGTCTTCCTCCATTGTGAACGCAAGCGTCAAAATAGCCCTGTCCAAATCGGAACCTTTCACTTTCGCTTCTTTTTTTCCTCCCTGCCCTTGCGATTCAATATTTCTTATTTGCCCACTTTCTTCCCCAAATAGGTTTATCTGTATGGAGTTCTCAGTAAGAATTCTGTAAATAGATACTGGGTAGCTATGGCCCCCTTACACAGAAAAAGGCCAAGGCAGTTTGTAAGTTCTTACTCGTTTGAAAGGGTTGCAGTCCTGGGTCGCATTATTTTGCTTCTGTCTCCAGGCTTGCATTCCTGGCATGCTCTCCGACTACGGTCTGGGTGCTCTGGGCCGCCTGGTTATACAATGTTATACACTTGTCTCCCACTTGTCTCCTACTCACCTGCATGTCACATGATGTGCCTGATGTGCCTCGTCAACAGCACCCAGCACCAGCAGCGCTGGACAGGCAGAGACAAGAAACAACGACCAAGCAAAGAGAGAGACCAGCTGCAGCAAACATCCACCAGCAGCACCTGCCCAAAGAAGAAAGCAAGAGGAAGGCAAGAGCACCAACCAAAAATACCAAAGAGCAACCAAAGAAGGGCAGGGAAGGGGAAAGGACCAGGAAATGTAAGCCTGGAAAAACGAGATCAGAAACGAGATCAAAACGAGATGCAAACGAGATCCGAGCCCTGGCAGCAGCAAACTCCCGGAAAGTAAAACCCGATATCGAGATTTCGGTGCACCTGGGCAACCTCCCCCCCCCACACCCCCTTTGCTCACTTCGTTCGCGAAAACAACTTTGCCTAGCCTATCGGCTGGCTTTCGTAATTTCTTACAAAAAGGAACGACTTTGTCTTTTGGCTGCACAACTCAAGGATGCTCAGTATTGCTCAGGCCGGAAACTCAACTATTGTAATTGTGTCCTTTCTGCGAATCGCAGCTGACACAAAGATACTGTGATACCTGGTTGGGACATGTTGGGACTCGATGCAGTACAACCGGGGTCCTTCTGCAGCTTATCCAGCAAACCTGCAGCGATTCAACTCTGATAATTAGTGGATATTCGTGGCATCTGTTCAAGGATATTCCAACATGTCCAACAATAAC